CAGGAGAACCATCTGACGTCCCAGCAGTCCACCACTGGTTCCAGACGAGCGAGAGAGTCTGGGACTCAGCTCATACTCACCTCCAGCGGGCTGTTCGGAGACACCAGAACCAGGCCAACCTTCGCCGTGCCGACGCCCCTCACTACCTTCCCGGACAACTGGTCTGGCTCTCCACCCGGGACATCCGTCTCCGACAGCCCTGTCGGAAGCTGAGTCCCAGATATATCGGTCCTTTCCCGATTCAGAGGCAGATCAACCCCGTCACCTACCGGCTGGCACTCCCCGCTCACTACCGCATCGCACCCACCTTCCATGTCTCCTTGCTCAAGCCGTACACTAACCCTCTCACTCCTTCTTCCCCAGGGTCTGGTGCTGCGGAGGTGCCCCCTCCTCCTGCGGATCCCGAAGATGACAACATCTACCGAGTCCATGAAATCCTCGACTCCCGACGACGGGGCGGCTGCTTGGAATATCTCGTGGACTGGGAGGGATTCGGTGCCGAGGAGAGATGCTGGGTCAACCGGGAGGACATTCTGGACCCCTCGTTACTCCAGGACTTCCACACCACCCACCCAGATCGTCCAGCGGCCCGGAGCCGTGGTCGTCCCCGTCGTCGGTCCCGTCCGCCAGCTGGAGCTGGCCGTGGGGGGGGGGGGGTACTGTCACGGATCCATCGGCGTCAGCACCAGACACCTTCACTCCGCCCACTCGTTCCAGCTCCCCAACATACTAATCACTGTCACCTGCCCGCTTCAATCACCGTCCCAATCATCCTCCCTTTATAAACTCACTCAGTCACTCACCGTCTGGTCGCGTCGACACTTCGACTACAGACTCCCGCTATACTACTGCCTTCATCTGAGGAATACTTACCCGCTTACTTCTGCCCGTCTGCTTCTCATCCGCTCCTGGTCCCCGGTCATCCTTCTGGTCATCCGTCTGCTGCCGCCGCTTACCATCTTCCAGCCCTGCTTAAGATAAGATATCCATTATCAGACTGTTTCCCACTCCTGAACCGAACTTTATCCATTCCTCACTTACCAGCTGTCTATCATACCAACTGTCTCAATAAACCTGGTTATACTCATCCATCTGTGTCCTTCTAGTCTGTGACAGGCTGCTTTGCACACCCCTATTATTAACATATAGATATGGCTTATATTGCCTAATTGCAAGCTTGTTTCAGAAATGGTGACAATTTTTTTCCATCATTATTGAACATCATTATAGGAGTATTCGGTTGAATGAGTTAGAATTAAATGTTTTATTAATCATTAGAAAATAGTCATTAAGAGAATCAATTATTATGCAAGTACTTTTACTTTTAATACTTAAAGTACATTTAAAATCAGGTACTTTTTACTTTTTACTTAAGTATGGTTGTCATTGTGTTACTTCTACTTTTACTAAAGTAAATATTTATCTGGTTATTTGTACTTTTATTTAAGTACTGAGATTCAGTACTTCCTCCACCAATGACACACACACACACAGGACTTTTAACTTAAGGCTATTATTGGCTATCTGTTTTCTCCTAAATAAAAGCTCAAGGGTTTATTTCTTGTAAGTGTAGAAATAGGACAAAAGTATATTCATTTTCCTATATTATAGTGTAATGTTGATTAAAATATACTTTTGAAATATTCATTTTCATTTATATAGTAGCCTATAAAGGCTATATGGATTTTACAAATTATATAAATCATTATTACATTATTATAATAATTGTTTGGCATCCGAAAACACCATTGATAATGTAATGTAGACTGAGACTCTCACAACTAAAAAGATGTTTGAGCCCTTATTGTCCTAGTACAAATCAATGCTTTATCTTTGTTTAACGAGCAGTTCATGGGTTGAAGCTCTTAATTTTGATCTGATCTGATGAATTTAACCTAAAAATGTAAAAATAAAATTCTTGCGGGGGAGCAGTCAGTAAAACATAAGATTATCTTTCTGTCTGAGTGAGACTGGAAAACCCGTAGTGGACGAAATCGGAGTGATAACAGAACGCTTAGAATGCAGAGAGGAATGTGCTCTGCCTCCAGTCCTGGTTTTGCGTCCGCGCCGTTAGAAGCTCAAGCTTGCAGGCAAGATCGCTCTAGATTAGAGGATATTTTAACTAATTTGCGGTAAAACTAGTCGATCACGAGTGGAGTGGCTCAACTGGTGAGGTCTTCATTCATAGTCTGTCTGAGATATATTAGAAGATGTGTCTTTCATGGATTTGCACTGAACTGATTCTCAAAAATACGGAACAAAGTGCGTTCTGTATCAGTTCAATACGGAACAAGACTTTTATGTGACAAATACGGAACGATTCCGTATTATACGGAATGGTTGGCAATGCTAGTTGAGGGTTTGTTGCATGTCTACGAATACGCTGTTGAACATCTGCAACCTAATTTGATAACACTTTACTGAAAGAATTTTTAATAGCAGTTTACATGTTACATACAGTGTGATGACTGCTACAAAATGTTTAAAAGAGAATCTACAGATACTACCCTGATGAGAGTAAGTAGATATTTTCTTGTAAAGTAACTTATAGTCAGCAGACTATCAATACAGTCTAACGGGGGACCATCAAAATTAAGTGTTATGGGAAACTCTGGGAATCACCCCTTTAAAAATAATGCAGAAGAGTGTCTGCTGTCAAAAAGAATGTGACAGAGATTGTAATAAAACATGAATCAACATTGACATGGCTTTTCAGAGATGGTGAGAACTGAGGGATTTGACATGTGATTAAGGTATTTTATTAAAAATATAAATTGCCATATGTAGCTCTCTAACAGAGTTCAATAAAGCATTATCTATTGTGAAGGGTCATTTCATTATGGTTGCTGTAGCGCTGTGCGTGTGTTGGAATTTATTTTAAAGAAAGTACCATGTCTATGGGTAAAGCTACAGCAATGTCTTCAGCTAGTCAGCATTAAAATATATTCCATATAAACTAGTTATGTCTCCTAAGCCTGGAAATAGTGAATGTTTTTTGAGCACCAGGATGTATTTATCCACAATCACACACAGCCGAAGCTCAACCGAAACTATTATTACGCAAAATGCATGCAGTTTTGCTTTTTAAACACAACATGTTAACTATCAATGAGTTTAATAACTTTCAATGACTAGTCAAGTTGTTTTCTGAGTGAGCACAGATATACAATTTGTTTGTGATCAAAATTTATTCTTTAAAAGTGAATAACTACATTTGTAGTGTTCTCATTACAATACAATCTGCACTTTATCAAACACATATATATGTAAACGCATTAAAGAAATATAATCTACAGACATTCCTAATAGAATAAACATACATTTAAAATGTGTCTCCAATATCTGTTGAGTTCTGCTACTGTGACAGTTGGTGAAAAAGAGGAAAATGTATCCAAATAAAAACACACAACCTTACTTGAGTTAACAGTGCTTAAATAAAGCTGTCATAACAGACAGGAAGTGCTGCTCAATTCAAAACAGTCTCGCACAAACACACACAAAGTTTAGGTTGAAAAACACCCCCTACTTGTAGAGTAAAATATGACAAAGAACAATTAACCAATGGAATGTGAGTAACATTAAAGGGTTAGTTCACACAAAATGAAAATTAGCCCATGATTTACTCACCCTCAAATTATCATAGGTGTATATGACATTCTTCTTTCAGACGAATACAATCAGAGTTATATTAAAAAATGCAGTAGCACCTCAATGCAGAACATGAGATCCACGGGGAGGAGTCGGATCACGATCCAAGGGGTGGAGATGGGTAGGATTAGGGTTGGGTTTAGGGATTAGGGGTGGGTTTAGAGATCAGGGGGCGGAGTTGGTTAGGTTTAGGGTTAAGGTGGGAGGAGTTGGATCTGGATCCGACTCCTCCCCGTGGATTTCATGTTCCGCAGTGAGCACCATCTCAAAAAATGCCTAAGCTCCCAAGCTTTATAATGGCAGTGAATGGCCATTTCTGTTTTGAAGTCAATAAAAGTGCATCTATCCATCATAAAAGCTAGTAATTTTATGTGATAGTTTTAAATATGGATATTTTTCTTACACAAACGCATCACTTCACTTCAGAAGACCTTTATTAACTCCTCAGAGCCGATAATGGATAGATGCACTTTTATGATTGGTAGATGCACTTTTATGATGGAGAGATGCACTTTTATGATGGGTAGATGCACTTTTATGATGGGCAGATGGAGAGATGCACTTTTATGATGGGTAGATGCACTTTTATGATGTGCAGATGTACTTTTATGATAGATAGATGCACTTTTATGATAGATAGATAGATGCACTTTTATGATAGATAGATGCACTTTTATGATGGGTAGATGCACTTTTATGATGGGTAGATGCACTTTTATGATGGGTAGATGCAATTTTTTATGATAAACAGATGCACTTTTATGATGGATAGATAGATGCACTTTTATGATAGATAGATAGATGCACTTTTATGATGGATAGATGCATTTTTATGATGTGTAGATGCACTTTTATGATAGATAGATGCACTTTTATGATGGGTAGATGCACTTTTATGATGGATAGATGCAATTTTTTATGATAAACAGATGCACTTTTATAATGGGTAGATGCACTTTTATGATGGATAGATACACTTTCATGATGACAGATGCACTTTCATGATGACAGATGCACTTTTATGATGGATAGATGCATTTTTATGATGTGTAGATGCACTTTTATGATAGATAGATGCACTTTTATGATGGGTAGATGCACTTTTATGATAGATAGATGCACTTTTATGATGGGTAGATGCACTTTTATGATGGATAGATACACTTTCATGATGGATAGATGCACTTTTATGATGGATAGATGCACTTTTAGAATGGATAGATGCACGTTTATGATTGGTAGATGCACTTTTATGATGGATAGATGCACTTTTATGATTTGTAGATGCAATTTTATGGACTTATATATTATAAAGCTTGGAAGAGCCAGGACATTTTTTTATATAACTCCGATTGTATTCGTCTGAAAGAAGAATGTAATGTACATCTAAGCTAATTTTCATTTTTGGGTGAACTATCCCTTTAAAGCCATGTGACTAACAAATCTGAATCTAAGAATATCTGACTCTGGCTGTTGCATAAATACAAAAAGAACAAATTGGAAGTGCAATAAAGGAAATGCAGCAAAAGGTGATCAGAGGTCTTCATTATCCTCATCATCATTGTCATCATCTGGAAGTCCAAAAGACAGTGAGAATAAAAGGACCACGTGAAAAAGAAAGAAACATGGCAAACGAGATTGTCTTCTATTCTTCTTCCTCCTCCTCCTCCTCCTCCTCCTCTCCTCCCATGACCTCAACGAGGAGTTCGGCGGTGCAAATGGCCTCCCCGATGCTGTTCATGGCCTTGCAGGTGTACTTTGCGTCATCATCACCGTTGACCTCAGAAATGACCAGACTGCAGTTTCCATCTTCATCATAATCAATCTGAAAATGGCGGGTCTCTTTTATCGGCTGGTCATCCTTATACCACACCACCTCTGGGTCAGGATAACCTGTTCGTACACAAGAAAAAATACATACATAACTATTAAGTAAAATATATTAATAACTTGATGCAAAAAGCATGAATATTAAAAGATCTTATTACTGCCATATTACTACTGTCAAAAGTTTGGGGTCAAAGGATGCATTAAATTGATCAAAAGTGAAAGTACATTTCTGAGGGATCATGTAACACTGAAGACTAGAGTAATGATACTGAACATTTAACTTTCATTTAACTTTGACCAATTACTTTGAACTTTGAACTTTAACCATTACCTGAATATCATCTTTTGGGTTTGTTCACCCAAAAATGATCCCATAATTTACTCAACCTCAAGCAATCCTGGGTTTATATGACTTTGTTCTTTCAGCCAAACACAATCAGAGTTATATTAAAAAATATGTCACGAGGTGACAATTCAGCGGAATCAATTCACGCTGGAAGTGTGTTCCCCCCTGGAAGATTTCAACGACACACCGTGCCAGTTCGCTTGTTGTCAGTTGCCATGACAGTGGCAGCTGATTAGCCAAGCGGTACCAGGTGTGGGTGTTTGGTGTGGGGATTTGTGATTGGGTGACATGGCCTAAAGTAGCAGTTAAAAGGAAAAGGAAGAGGCATTCGAGTGTGGTACTCCCCCGGGAGAAAAATTATTCTTTTGGCAGTGGCTTGAATTTGGCAGTGGCTTGAGATCTTTGGAGAGGGCTGTGACGTGTTGGCTAGATAAAGGGTGCAATGGTGATTTGTGAGAATACAAGCTGGAAACGTGAACTGGATGTGAAGTGAGTGAATTGTGGGGATTGAGTCAAGATTGAAGAACGCCATCATTCTTGAGAGGAAGATATGTAATGAAAATCCGGATTTGTGTGAATGCCTGTCTTGCACTGAGTTGAATAAGGAATTGTGAAGTGTATTGATCACAAGTGTAACTGTCACTTAAGAGTGTGAACTGAGTCATCATTGAAATCCTGATATCTTCTCCTGAGTATGAGAGAGTATTGAAGACGCTGTTCCCATGCTGTGAGAAGTCATCTGCATCTCTTCATCTCCTGAGTGCTGATTCAGCGTAACGGTGGAAGGATTGATCATTGGATGAGTGCTGGCCTTATTGCACTGAGAGTGAGAGTGGATATGCAGTGCCTGAATTGAAGTGTCACACATTATTGGACTTGATGTGGAGTTGCAGTGTGTGTATATTTAACTGCCAATATTCCCCAGTTCATATTCTCGCCCAGTGTTTGCTGAACCAAGACCTCAATGTTGAATGTGTATGCTCGCTCCGGCTACAAGTTTCCCCGTTCGATACTGAAGAGAAGTGTGCTTGCCCTGTATAAATTGTTCTGTCTATTTAAATAGAAGATTCTTCGGCTACTGCCTTCTTGTGTGATGCCTTTCTGAAGGAGGGACACACCCTAGCCTCAGCGCTGTTTGCTTAGAGCAACACCACCCAGCCGTAAGCCTGATTCTCCATCTTACAGAGGAATGTGCCTGCACCTGTATAAATTGCTTTGTTTGTTTGAATAGATGATTCTGTTGCTCCCGTCTTCTTGTGAGATGTCTGCCTGAAGCAGAGGCCCGCCCTGGTCGCATCGTGTCAGTACAGTCACCCGCTCCAGCCGTAAGTCCTTGCCCTATTGTAAAGAGAAGTGAGCCTGTAAAACTGTCTCTGGATTAGAGGATACCTCTGCTTCCGACTGGAGCCGCCAAGAGAGAAGGATACCCGGAGGGTCTCGCACCTGCTGCCCAGCGACGCTACGGGAGTGTATCCTGCCCTGAGGAGAACATGCGTACCCGGCTACCCACCTGACTGGCCGCGAGTCCGGCCACCTACTGAACAGTTGACGACCTGGGAATGTACCGACTCATCCACCCACCTGTTCTCCAGTGAGGCCCCGCTGCCATCCGAGACTCCGCTCACCTGTCATCAGAGAGGGAAACTTACCTGCCACTCACCTGTCCGGTCGAAGAATCCCCTCCTAGTCCGTGGTCTTGGTCCCGGCCCGTCCGGATATCTGCCCGCTCGTATTACGCCTGAGAAGGTCTACTTACCACGATACTTACCTGCTTGCCGGACCGGCGGTCGAATCCCTCCTCCTCCGTGGCGGCCAGTGGTACAGGACGGTGCGGTGAATCTCTTGGTTTCCTCCTCCCTGTGGAGAGATACGAAGTCCACATCAAGACTTTTAAAGCCCGCTTTTATTCAATAAAGATTGGTACTTTTAAAATTCTTCTTGTCTGTCTGGTCTCTGGTACGCTCCTCAGGTTGGTCCTAGGTTTGAGGGGTGGGTGCAGTCTGGTTGGCCCCCCGACCTGTGACAAATATCCTGGCTCTTTCACGCTTTTTATTGAGAGTGAATGGTACCTTAGATTTTCTGCATCCATCCATCATAAAAGTAATCCATACGACTCCAGTGGGTTAATAAAGGCCTTTTGAAGCAAAGCCCTGCGTTTTTTATAAAAAAATATATCCATATTTTCATCCATCCATCTTCCGCTCATCCAGGGCGGGGTCGTGGAGGCAGCAGTCTAAGCAGAGATGCCCAGCCTTCCCTCTCCCTAGACACTTCCTCCAGCTCTTCTGGGGGGACACCGAGGCGTTCCCAGGCCAGCCGGGAGACATAGTCTCTCCAGCATGTCCTATGTCTTCCCCGGGGTCTCCGCCCAGTGGGACAAGTCTGGAACACCTCCCCGGGGAGGCATCCGGAACAGATGCCCCAGCCACTTGAGCTGACCCCTCTCGATGTGTAGGAGCAGCGGCTCTACTCTGAGCTCCTCCCGAGTGACCAAGCTTATCACCCTATCTCTAAGGGATCGCCCAGCCACCCTGCGGAGAAAGCTCATTTTGGTAAATCGAGAGCTTTGTCTTACGGCTCAGCTCCTTCTTTACCACAACAGACCGGTACATCGACCGTATTTTTGCCGGGTCTGTCAATCTCCCGTTCCATCCTTCCCTCACTCGTGAACAAAACTCCAAGATACTTAAACTCCTCCACTTGAGGAAGGATTTCTCCACCAACCTGAAGTAAGCAAGCCACCCTTTTCCGACTGAGGACCATGGCCTAGGATTTGGAGGTGCTGATTTTCATCCCAGCCGCTTCACACTCGGCTGCAAACCATCCCAGTGCATGCTGAAGGTCCTGGTGTGAAGGGTCCAACACGACAACATCATCCGCAAAGAGCAGAGACGAAATCGTGTGGTCCCCAAACCTGACACCCTCTGGCTGCGCCTAGAAATTCAGTCCATAAAAATTATGAACAGAACCGGCGACAAAGGAAAGCCCTGCCGGAGTCCAACATGTACCGGGAAGAGGTCTGACTTACTACCGGCGATGCGAACCAAGCTCCTGCTTCGGTCATACAGGGACCGGACAGCCCTTATATCCATATTTATAACTTTATAACCTATAAACATGGCTTCTGGTAACGGCCGTACATGAGTCTAGTCCCGGCGGAAGAGTGATGCATGACCCGAAGCAAGACGAGTGACCTCTGACCCGAAGCATGACCCGACACATGACGAGTGACCTCTGACCCGATGCATGACGAGTGACCTCTGACCCGACGCATGACGAGTGACCTCTGACCTGATGGATGACAAGTGACCTCTGACCCAACGCATGGCGAATGACCTCTGATCCAACGCATGGCAAATGACCTCTGACCTGATGCATGATGTAGAAGTAGCGTAAGCTCAGGTGAGTCAACGCCTCTCGCGGTTCAGAAAAATAGAGCTGGGCAACAAACTCAAGCTCCTCCCACATTTCTCTTTAAAAGTGCAATGTGTAATATTTCTGAGGATCTATTGACAGAAATTCAATAAAAGATTCATAACTATGTGTTCAGTGGTGTATAAAGACCTTACTCAATGAACCATTATGTTTTTATTACCTAGAATGAGACATTTATATCTACATAACCACGGGCACCCCCTTCTATGAAGGTCGAGATATTCTGATGTAATGTTTCTACCGTAGCCGACAGCGAATAAACAGCGCTACAGAACGCGTTTCGTTCATACCTTGAAAAAGAAGCAACAGAAAGCTAGAAGCTAGCCATAGACACCTTGAGTAGTGACTTTTCCCTTGTCAGTGGTGTAAAATATATAGTTGGATTGTTTCATGTAACTTAGTTCTTCTCCCTCACTGTGTTATGGCTTTGACCATCAGTGGAAAAGTTACAGTCCCCAACCTGCCGATCGCGGTCGACAACTCGATCTTGGACGCATTTTAAGTCGATCACAAAGAGTTTTAAAAAACAGAGAAAAAATTATATTTTTATTCATTATTATTTATTAATTTGTGTGTAGTAAATGGTGTCTAGGGGATGCGGACCTTTGCGCTCATGTGGACGCGTCGAGTATGAACAATGCTTAACGCTTTAACCAGTTCAGCCACAGCCCTACAGCATAACAGCTCATATTAGCCAGATAAACTAAATATGAACATAAAAAAAATCGCATCACGTGACCCCTTTAAAAATTCTAGTTTTAGGCATCTAATTTGTGACCGGTGTTTTCTTTTGCTCTGTCCTCTGGGCTTCCACGTTCGTCAATACGCAATGAGCAGTGTTGGTCAAGTTACTTGGAAATAGTAATTAGTTACTGATTACTTCTCCAAGAAAGTAATCCAATTACTTTACTGATTACTTGTTTTCAAATGTAATTAGTTACTTTACTAGTTACTTTACTAAGTTACTTTTCAAAAACATGATGCACGACCTGAATACGCTAAAGCATTTCAGCCTAATTCTATTTTTTCTGCATATTCCATCATCTAAGATGTAATCAAATTAAACATTCTCTTTTTTAAACTTGTTTTATTTGTTTCAATATTTTAACTTTATGCACATTGCATCAAGCAAAAATTAAATTAAATGCAACGGTCTCAGACTAGAAGAAAATTGTTAAATATTTAAACCTATTTTCTGCAAATTCCACCATATTTTAATGAAATAGAGACAGTCCTTCTTCTGTTAACATAAATTTCTACATATTCCAGCATATAAAATAAATATATTTTGTAAAATCCTTCATTTGAATAGATGTAAAAATACAGCAATAAAATCATAAAAGTCGCTCCTGACTGTATTACAAACACTTACGTCTTTTAAAGGGACACTATGCAGTTATTTTAGCTTAATTTAACAGCTTCAGAGTTATTGAAATGGTTATATGACTTCTTTCGGGTTGAATGGGGGGCGTCTCGACCCCCCCTGGTGCCTGTGAGCGGAAAAATCTCACTTGCAATTTCGAGGCAGTTTTGAGGCGGCTCGCCGGCCTCAGCATCAGGAAGTATCGCGTGATGTCAGCTCTCACGATGTAACATATTCCTTTGCGGCAACACTGCACATATCCAGGAACAAGGTCGAGAAGGATGGAGTTTGTCACACTATCGTCATGTCGGAGCCGGCATATAAGATATAGAAAGGTAGGAAAGCATTGTCGGAGGAACAGAGAAAGAGGAAAGAGCAGACTGACCGAGCGGGGAGTCAGACGCGAGCATAGCCGTAATGTGCGTGTGATATCTCCCCATTGAAACATCTCGCAGCACGGATGTACCAATACAAACAAATAAAACATCTCCTAACTCTAGTAGATTCATTTATTTCGTTTGTTAAATAAGAGGCGATCTGAAATGTGTTGTTTTTTAAATCAAGTGACCAAAGTGCTCGTTGGTGCTGCGATCAGTTTCAGAGGATTCAGTGTTCTGTTGTGATATTCAAACGGACACGTGCTCATTGCTCAATCCGTTGCGGGGACTGACTTATTACGGTGAAATCACAAAACCGAATGCACAAAAAACATGTCCCTGCTTGAAATACAGCCACTAATAAACAATCGGTGTTGATAAGGAAAATAAACTATACTATTAGTAAGGATTAGAACCCAGAACCTGTGACACACATGGCAAAAGTTCTTCCTCTGGACCATTATAGTTCATGTATTTAATCACGTGAAAATTTCAATTGTAATCCCTTACTTTACTCATTACTAGAAAAAAGTACTTGGATTACAGTAACGCGTTACTTCTAATGCATTACTGCCCATCAGTGGTCATGAGTCAGGTCAGAGGTCACTCATCTGCTGGAACTCGACTCGCAGCCAGTGATTATAGTTGATAAAGTTATAAATCCGGATTTTTATTACAAAAACGCATGGCTTTGCTTAGAACTCCCTGGAGCCATATTCATAAGTAAATGCTAATCATGATATGTATGGAACAGGAAAAGTGGCTGTGGTAAACATTTCAACACATTGGGCATGTGGTATTAAGTAATCTTTAAAACTGTAATTTTATTTTACACCACATGTAATCAATGCACCATATTTTATCCATAGATTATTTTAGCATTATGTAACCATATAATTTTACCTTCAATTTTGCAGTCGAATCGAGCAGCGCTGCCCTCCACCACCTCGACGTCTTTAATAACAGTGCTGAACGTGGGTTTCATTAGAGTCTTCTGCTCCAATTCAGCGGAAAACTGTTTGTCCTCTATGACAGATAAACAGGTAGATTTTGGACATTAATAACAATGTTAACAACTTTTAACATTTTACAGAACATGTTAACATTTACTAACTAAATTGTATGAATTTAGTAGTAAAGACAGAGGTTTGAAATAAGAAATATTTTTACACATAAAAATGTAAGGGCTGCATGAAGTGCAGTATTTCACCTTTAATACAAGACATACAGTACAAGTACGATGACACAATGTTTTTATTTTTTCTCATCAAAGACAGCCTCAATTTTAAAAATATACTTTTAAATAAGCACACTTCTTTAGCACACTGTCTGACTGTGTTAAAGAGGACCTATATACTTTTAGGCTTGATTTTGTCTTTGGGGTATACTAGTTTTCATACTTCAAAAAAAAATCAAAACATATTTTACACTGTTGCCTCTCTTCCCAATCTGTCAGTAACGCTCTGAGGTGTGTTTCCAGAAAGCATTGTTAGCCAACTATGGTCGCAAGTTCTGTCATTATCAACATAGTTTTAACAATTTGGGATTTTCTGGAAACCATAGTTCCAACTAACATTCCCAAACAGCAGCGTAAACTCACATGGTTGTAACTTCAGCTCTCAACCTGTGGTTAGAAGCATAGTTTCTTGTTAAATGACATGTGAACCTAAATAGATCATGCTTTTAGGTACGATAAGCAAGCAAACATTTAGTATATTCTATACATTTTATCCCACATAGCAAACTGACATTGAATCAACGTGGAAACATGACATTGAAACAATGTTGATCTGACATTGTTTTGCTCATCGAATTAACGTTGAACCAACGTCAGACGTGTCATTCTTTCAAAACTAACGGAAAATCAACTTGAAATCAACGTTGTTTCAACGTTATGAAAGCAAACCAATTTTCGATTTTCATTTAGCTTTGAAGAATGCCGCGTCTGACGCTGGTTCAACATTAATTCGATTAGCAAAATCAACGTTGTTTTGATGTCATGAGAGACGTCGTTTCCACGTTGATTCAATGTCAGTTTGCTGTCTGGGATTCTATTTAAAGGGATACTTCACCTCTGGAAAGATGAATGTGTATTTAAAATGGGTAATTTGTGTTGAAGAAATGTGAAATTATTTTAGAATTTGGAGCTTTCTAGACTGAGAAAAGCCAGAAATTTTATTTTTGGCTTAAGTGAATGAACGACAACAACTCCAAGAATGCACTTGCTTCGCTGCCCTAGGAGGCCACGCCTACCAGTAACAGAGCATAGTAGTGTAACAACAAGTCTAGTGATGAGTCTGCCCGGGATTTTCGGGATTGCCCAAAATGTCAGAGATTCGGCTTGTTTGTTCTATAGTTGCCATTCATCATGTTTACTGTGGTGAGCAGGACCAGTGAGGGCCACGGGAGAATGGAGCGAGGCCGGTGGCGTGATTACCAATGAGAGACACCTGTGAGACGCACCGGTCTTGTATCTCTCACGGAGAAGCGGGAATGTTAAAACGCACATCAACCGATCACTCGTTTAGTGTTCATGTAAACACTACATTCAGATTCACTAATGAAATTAATTCTGTTAGATTCAAACAAAAGGTGTCTATGTGAACAATGAATGGTGACTGCAGAAAGCAAAAGCTGAATCCCTGACATCGACGGCCGGACATGTCCGGGAAAAAGAGGCTCGCGATACTAAGAGAACCCGTACTAAGCTTTCTCCATAGAACAAGAGCCTGCTATTTTAGCTTTCAATAAAATATGGCTGACACTATGTGTTCATTCTGTGAGTGAGATCGCACCCTCTATGGGCGTGTTGAGAACATGCGGGACAGACCCTACTACTGACTGTGGTCTTTAGCCTCTGGGCAAAAAATCCTCAGATGACACAAAATGACGATTTTTGCATCATCAGAGAATTTTTTACTGACAAAAAATGCTCAATGCTCAAACAGCAACATTCCACACTAAAGAAAGTAAAATGTAAAAAAGTATATCAAAACAATTCATTAGTTGAGTCACTACTAGTATTTTATTTAAGGGTGGGTCAATCAGAAATGTTGTACCTTCAGTGGGGGAACCCTTTTTGGCATGAACCCCTGCCATCAATGCCATGTTAGACAGTCGACCAATAGCTCGTACCGCATGTCCTGTTTTCTGGAGAAGAGAGTGCAAAACTATCAGTTACCTATCGAGGGAACTCAACACTATGTCGATAAAATCGACTCTTTGGGGATGCTCCTTAAGTGTGCGCCTCTGAAGTATGAATGAAACTAATCCAATCCTGATTGGTGTTGCGTCGTGACGTAACATGTGACGGCATACCCGGAAGTATAAAAGTGACACTGTCACAACACACACTAGCTTTCGCTCTTCAGCAAGCGCTCTATGTGAAAACTGTCTGTCTTATTTGGTGTTGTTTGTCTCTTATATAGTAAAAAGAATGGCCAGTGAACAATTCAAGTGATGTGTGCATCCCTGCCCTCGCTTCATCACGGGTGGGGACACACACTCTCTGTGTGTGAGTTGTTTGGGAGTGCAGCACGCACAAGCAGCTCTCGAGGGGGCTGCTTGTGAAAACTGCGATGCTATGCCCATTAGAGTGCTGCGCTCCCGGCTGGCGTGCTTCGATGAGCAAGGTCAGGCTCGCATTCCCCAGGGTTCCGGTCCCGCATTTGTTGAGGCGATGCGGCGATTGAGATCCTGGGATTCGCAGCGGGATCTGGCAGAGGAGAATGAGAATGCTGAGGCATTTTCTCGTTCTCCACCTGCAGGTCCTGCAGCCTCTGAAAGTGGTGCGGGAGCCCGCGTTGGGGTTTCTCCTGCCCACGGTCAGGTTCCAATGCTCAAGCTGTCTGATTCTGAGGAAGTAGACGTGCTCAGCATTGAGGTGGACGACCGTGAGTTCAGCACGGCAGCGCAAGGCCAGAGTTATGAAGAGCTGGTTGAGGTTGTGACTCGCGCTGTGGCCAGATTAAACATCAGCTGGCCACAAAATGAGCAGGAAACGCAAGTTAAAAGTAAACTTGACGAGCGTTTCCTGCAGTGCAGGTCACAGCCTCACCGCCGAGGTTTGCCGTTTTCCCCGATCTCCACAAAGAGATCGCAAAATTGTGGGATAAACCACATTCGTCCCGTGTCTCAAGCCCTATCGATTACAGTAATGTTTTGGGGGCACGGGACATGGGCTATGGGAAGATGCCGAATGTGGAAGAGGCTTTGTGGAAGAGTTATCTTTCACCTGAGTCGGCGTCTTCCCTAAAAACCCTGGTATTGCCTAGTAAGCCCTGCAGGGATACATCTGCACTTATTGGCAGGGCTTACATGGCGGCAGGTCGGGCTGGTTCATGTCTGCACTCAATGGCGATCTTGCAGGCATACCAGGCCGACCTCCTGAAAGATTTGGACGAGGGGGAGGGGCTGACTCCGGAGGATGTCGCAGAGTTAAGGAAAGCCACAGATCTGTCTCTCCGGGCCACGAGAGAGACAGCCTGTGCCATTGGCCACTCAATGGCGGCCATGGTGGCTACAGAGAGGCATCTGTGGCTAAACCTTTCCGGCATAAAAGACAAGGATTGGTCTTTTCTGCTGGATGCGCCGCTCTCGCCTTCTGGCCTGTTTGGCGACGCCATTATTTTGGTCGTCGACAGGTTCCAGGAAGCAAAGGAACAGTCTGTTCCAGCAGTACCTCTCCCGAAAGGCAAAGTCCAAATCAAGTAGGGTGGCGCAAAGCGATAAATGGTAAATGGTAAATGGACTGCATTTATATAGCGCTTTCATAGACCTAATGGCCACCAAAGCGCTTTACATATTGCCTCACATTCACCCATTCACACACACATTCATACACCAACGGCGGTGTCAGCCATACAAGGCGCCAGCCAGCTCGTCGGGAGCAGCTGGGGTTAGGTGTCTTGCTCATGGACACCTCGACACTTGGTCAGGTGGAACCGAGGATTGAACCACCAACCCTTCGGTTTGTAGACAACCCACATGAACCACTGAGCCACTGCCGCCCCACTGAGATAAGCCCCAGCCATCAGCCAGCTCCTCACACTGGGCAGAGCAAAGAGAGAGCGTTTCCTCCAGAGCCCCTCCTCCGGGAACTTGGCAACAGAGGAAACGCTCTCAAAAGTCGAAGTCCTCCAGCCAGAAGGGAGAGCTGAGGGATATCATTCAGGCTAGGAGGACTTCAGGAAAGAGGTCCTAACCGTGGTGGGACCTTGGAGGGCTGTCCCCTCCGCTGTGGGGCAACCGAGGTTGTTCTCCCAGCGGAGCCCTCTTGGAAAGGATGCATGCTGCCCGCCGTTAGCAACGCTTCGGGCCGCATCCATTTCCAGCGAAAATGTTATAACAAAGCATCAATTATGGTCAAAAGACCGTATCAACTACAACCTGCCTGTATTTCGCTTCAGGGAGTCGAGAAAGATGCTCAACAAACACCAGAGGCCAGTCTCGAGGGGCTGGTACCCCTAGTAGATTTTGTAGAGGAGTGGTATCATCTCCCCAACATAGCTGCATGGGTCCTGCAGATAATAAGATCTAGGTACAGACTGCAGATCGCGCACCGCCCCCCCAAGTTCTCTAGGGTGGTGCAGACTACAGTGGTCCCAGAGCAGGCTCAGGTGATGGAACAAGAAGTACAGACTCTTCTGTTGAAGGGAGCCATAGAACGTGTTCTTCCATTAGACAGGGAGTCCGGGTTTTACAGCCGGTACTTTATAGTTCCAAAGAAGGATGGGGGGTTAAGGCCAATTTTAGATCTCAGGGTTTTGAACCGATCTCTGAGGAGGTTCAAGTTCAAAATGTTAACCATCCCTGCAATTGTGAGTCAAATCAGGTCCGAGGACTGGTTTGTCACGATAGATTTAAAAGATGCCTATTTTCACATCTCCATCCTTCCATGTCACAGGAGGTACCTGAGGTTCGCTTTCGGGGGCGAAGCTTACCAATATCGGGTTCTTCCGTTCGGCCTAGTACTCTCTCCCCGCACATTCACCAAATGTATGGACGTAGCCTTTGCTCCACTGAGACTTCAAGGCATTCGTATACTGAATTATCTCAACGACTGGCTCATTCTGGCTCAGTCTTGGGAAATGGCAGTTCGGCATCGAGATGTCGTCCTTGGCCACATTGAGAAATTGGGGCTGAGACTCAATGCAAAGAAGAGTGTGCTAGAACCATCCCAGTGTACGACATTTTTGGGAGTCGTGTGGAACTCGACTACAATGCAGGCACGAATATCTCCTGCACGTATCGAGTCAATTTTGGCGATGGTATCCAGGGTGAAGTTGGGCCAGGCCATTACTGTGAAGCAATTTAAAAGGATGCTGGGCCTCCTGGCAGCGGCATCCAACATTATTCCTTTGGGCCTTCTTCACATGAGGCCCCTTCAGTGGTGGTTGAAAACCAAGGGGTTCTCTCCCAAGGGGAATCGGAAAACCGGAAAACCGTTTTGACAGACGCCTCCCTCACTGGCTGGGGCGCGGTCATGGACGGCCGCTTTGCAAGGGGTCTGTGGCAGGACCATCATCGTTCTTGGCATATAAACTGCCTAGAGATGATGGCTGTGTTCAGGGCTTTGAGGAACTTCCTCCCAGACATCAAAGGTCACCACGTCTTAGTACGATCGGACAATACGTCAGTGGTAGCCTATCTGAACCGACAAGGGGGTCTCAGATCGCGCCCCCTGTGCAGACTGGCGCATCAAGTTATCCTTTGGTCCCAGGGAAAAATACTGTCCATGAAGGCAGTATATATTCCAGGGGTTCAGAATCAGGGAGCAGACATCCTGTCGAGGCAAGGGCTGAGGCCCGGGGAATGGAGACTTCATCCGGAGGTGGTGAAGTCGATATGAGAGAGGTTTGGACCATTGGAAGTGGATCTGTTTGCGTCTCGAGAGACGTCCCACTGTCCACTTTGGTTCTCCCTCTCACATCCAGCCCTACTGGGGTTGGATGCCATGGTACAGGCCTGGCCGAGGCTTCACCTGTACGTATTTCCCCCGATCGCTCTGCTCCCGGGAGTCCTGGAGAGGGTCCGTCAGGAGGGCATCAGTCTACTTCCGGTTGCCCCAATGTGGCCGACACGAGTATGGTTTTCGGACATAATATCACTCCTCATAACTCCGCCATGGCAGATTCCTCTGAGGAGGGATCTGTTGTCTCAGGCGGAGGGCACGATCTTCTACCCTCGTCCGGAGCTGTGGAAGCTGTGGGTCTGGCCTCTAAGGGGGTTCAGTACCTGAATGCTGGTCTATCAGCTGGAGTGGTTGAAACCATACTTAGCTCTAGGGCTCCATCTACCAGGAGATTATATGGCCTCAAGTGGAATGTGTTCGTCACTTGGTGTAGAGAACTTGAGTTAGATCCAGTAAACTGCCTGGTGGCTTCAGTTCTGGATTTTCTCCAAGATCGTTTCTCTGCGGGTCTCTCCCCATCCACTCTTAAGGTGTACGTGGCTGCCATTTCGGCTTTCCAAGCGCCATTAGATGATGGGCCTTTGGGGAGGCACCAGTTGGTCATTCGATTTCTCCGTGGTACTTGGAGGATGAGGCCGGCAACCAGGTCCAGGGTTCCTGCCTGGGACCTGGCAATAGTTCTGGAAGGGTTATCCCTGGCTCCCTTCGAACCTTTAGAGTCGGCTTCGCCTAAGGACTTAACACTGAAAATGTTTTTTCTCTTGGCAATTACCTCACTCAAGAGGGTGGGAGATCTCCAATCCCTGGCAGTAACGCCGGCTTGCTTGGAGTTTGCCCCTGGTAGAGTAAAAGCCTTTTTTCACCCGAGTCCAGGCTACGTGCCTAAAGTTCCATCGAATACGGCTCGTTCAATAGTCCTTCAGGCTTTCATCCTCCACCTCATGTGTCGGTGGAAGAGGAGAGGCTTCACTTGCTCTGCCCCGTCAGAGCTTTGAGCTTATACCTTGAGAGGTCCTCTTGGAGAAGGTCGGACTAATTGTTGGTATGTTTTGGGTCACCTAAGAGGGGGCACCCGACAACCAAACAGACTATTAGTAACTGGATTGTCCAGGCTATTACTGAGGCTTATAAGGTACGCGGGTTGCCTTCAACTTTGGCCTTAAGGGCTCACTCAACTAGAGGCATGGCTTCCACTAGGGCCCTTCTTTCGGGAGTACCTCTGCAGGAGATCTGTGAGGCAGCCGGCTGGGCTACCCCACATACTTTCATTAGGTTTTACAGTCTCCACCTTCCCAGTACGCCCGATGCACACATGCTCAGTCCTTGTTGAGTACCTATACAGTTTCACTCCGTGGCGGGCCTATTCTGTGCGTGGCCTAGTGGGCACTCGTTCCCCAAAGAGTCGATTTTATCGACGCAGTGTTGAGTTCCCTCGATAAGGAACGTCTCGTGTTATGACTATAACCCTTGTTTCCTGAGAAGGGAACGAGACACTGCGTCGTGTTGCCACGCCCCTTAAGACCCTTGAGCGCCTTGCTTCATCGCGAGGCTAGTGTGTTGTGACAGCGTCACTTTTATACTTCCGGGTTTGCCGTCACATGTTATGTCACGACGCAACACCAATCAGGATTGGATTAGTTTCATTCATACTTCAGAGGCGCACGCTTAGGGAGCGTCCCCAAAGAGTCGATTTTATCAACCCAGTGTCTCGTTCCCTTCTCAGGGAACAAGGGCTATAGTCATAACCCGAGACGTTATCAATTTATTCACTAACACATCAGAAACAGAACTGTGATAGACACACTGCAAGAATATCTTGAGCTTGTTTTAATCAGACTTTCAATAATACAAGGAGAAAACCAACATTTTATGTCATATTATTATTCTAGATCCTAACCTGCCACTTTCTTCTCAGAATATACTTCTTCATCCTCTCTTTAGAAAGCTTCTTGGCCTCCATGATGGAGGTGTCCTGTTTGAGCCATGGGTGCTGGAAACACTGATCGCAGGTCAGACGTGCTCTGCAGACAAAAAAACACAGAGTGATATGCTGAGAGAGAGAGAGGGGAAATGTGAAAAAGAAAATGTAGAGTCTCAGACAAAGAATTGTACCTCAGAGAGCACTGATGCATGATGCAAGACGGGGGAAATCAAGTAAATCAGATATTTAAAATGACTCACCGTATAAGGTAACAAATAAACTTTCAAGTATTTTTCTGAATAAGGATTTGGCACCGTGAAAATGAAGCAGAGTTGTGCACTCACTTCATGTCTTTCTTCAGCAGGTTACTGATAAAGTCTTTGGCCTCGTCTGAGATCTCATCAAATGCATCGTCTTCAAAGTCCCACGTCGCAGAGGTCACATTAGACAGCGTCTCAATATCATTGTCCCCCATGAAGGGAGACAAACCACTGACACTAAACACAACAAGAAACAATGAAAAAAAATTAGAAGAGCAATAAAAATTGTCACACTAATGTGTTAAGTGTTCATCTTGAAATATTAATAACTATACAGAAGTTATTCTTACATGTACTTTATAAAAATTAGAAAAGATTTTACAGCAAAAAGCGTGTACCATGACCTGAAGTGTACTGAATATGCACTTGTAGTTTAGTTCAAATCTTAAAAGCATTAACATGCAATTTAGTGTCCGAAAACATTACATTGAGTCAGTACTAGTGTATATTCTTTTAAAGTATATTGTTTCTGCAATAGTCTTTTTAAAATGATAAATATACTTTATTTCCACAAAGTTGGCACATTTGTCAATTATGAGGCTCTAAAATTTGGACCATAGGCAAGGAAACACCCTGGACAAAGAACCACCATATATACAGTCAAACCAAAAATTATTCAGACACCAGATATAATGTTTCATATTTTTTTACAAGTAGGTGCAGGACACTATAGTTAATTTATGTAAGTGAGGATAGCAAAATAAAGTGAACTGTGACATTAAACCAAAAATTCTTCGTATCAGTAAAATGTATTCCAATTTGGGACCAAAAATCATTCCGACACTTTGACCTGACCATGTTTTGCTGGAGTATTCTTTCTTTAATTGCTAATGCGACCTTTTTCCACCACAGTGAACACAATTAAGCATTGCTTGCTTGACCTCAACTTGTATTATCTAATTGTGTAGTTAAATTTAACCTAATTCATTTGTGAGAGTGATGGATGGATGGATGGATGGATGGATGGATGAATGGATGGATGGCCAAAACCAGTGAAACTGATTTGATAACTGAGTTCTTATCATATTTTATCACCATTTTCTAAACTATAGCAAATAAACTGTGATAATGTGAGAAATGTTAAAGGTGCCTGAATGAATTTTGGTTTGACTGTAATTAAATCCAAATTATAATTTGGATAATTTAGACTTCCATCAACCAATAAGGGAGTAGTACTTCTAAGCACATGTTTACATTTATTTCATATAATTCTGCAGATTTTACACCAAGATCAGCAGAGAAAATTGGAAAAAAAAATCCATTGGCCATAAAGGTAATTTCTCTTCAGAATGGATGTGACGTATATTGAGCTAAATAATGACACTATTGTCTTCTGTAGTGTGGCTGTACAGTAGAATTTGATGAAATTTGAATCATTGATAATTATTTCCTGTTTATTACTATGAAGCTGCTTTTAAACAATCTGAAACAATTTTATAAGTACGTAAACAACGGTGAATTGACTTGACATGTGTACTCACAGGATGTAGCAGATAACTCCTATACTCCACATGTCTGTAGTGTAACTGATGGCCTCGTAATTAATCACCTCTGGAGCCACAAACTCTGGGGTGCCAAAAAGGACTTTCAGAGATCCAGCATTCTCTACAGTCATACATAAGAAACAAACCAATTCATGATTTCATTTCAAAACAATACGTGATATTTTAAATAAACAAATAGCTTCTCAGTTTAAATTATAATTGAAAAGCTATTGGAAAACTTCAAAAACACCGACCGTGGATTATAATCAGTAAGTCTTAAATAATTGGAAAAATGCAATTACCAAGTCTGCGTGCCAGTCCAAAGTCAATTAGTTTGATTTTGCTGCCGGTCTTATTGACACACATGATGTTCTCAGGTTTGAGGTCCAGGTGGACAATGCCTTTCTTATGGATGAAATTTACTCCATCCACAATCTGAAGCATGTATTTGATCACCTCTCTCTCTGTAAGCTCAAAGTCCTCATCTATTATCCGCTCAAACAGTTCCCCTCCAGAAATCCTGAAGAACATCAAAGTTCAGCCAATACATCAGACACATATACTAAAAGCTTATCTTAAAAGCAAAAGCAGTAAAAAGTTTATCTTTAAACTGTCCTTCACTAAACTCTTCTTAACTTCTAATAAAAGCAAGTTTAAATAAAGGGGACATATGGAATAACACCAAAAATGTGTACATTACAGTCTGACATACAGTGGCAAGAATGAGTTACAAAAGCTTCCACTTTTCTGGGAAGGCTTTCCACAAGATTGTGAAGTGTTCCTGAGGGGATTTTTTACCCATTAATCCAGGGTCAAACACTATTTCCATCCACATACTTTTATGCACATTTTGGGATATCACAAAAAAAAAAAAAAACGCTGGACAGAAATGGCAATATGCGCACACATTAAAAAAAAACAACAAAAAAAAAACATATGCGCTCAATTGAGTTGGATAAACGTTTTGTGCAAACCGTGCATAAACTACAATGGAAACACATTTACTGAATAAATTCCTCATTGAGCATCCAAAAAGACTTGAAGACTTGACAAAAAAGTGACTTTTGCGAAGGGACAGTATAACTGGACTAACCAGCGGAATAACCAGTCCAGCACTGCACAACATCTGAAATGCTGTTTTGGTTGTTCTGCAAAGTCTGTCGTCAAAGTGGTTTGGTATAATTGCCTCCTACAACCAGGGCCGGCTCTGTAAATCTGGGGGCCCTAAGCAGGATCATTTTGGGGCCCTGTCTTGCACTAAACAATGGAGTATTTCCACCGCAAACCGGTAACTGTATACAAAAATCTTCAATAAAGTTGATGCATATTGGCTACTACAGGTGTTGCTGGAGTCTCGATCTTTCAACTTCTTTTCCCTTTTCCACACTTTAAAAAGAGGGAGAAGTTAGACCAGTAATTTATTTCCTTCTAAAGTGATTTAAACATTTTTTTTCTGCACCCGATGGATAGACTTGTTTTAATATTGCGGCCAAATTTCCAAGTGGGGAAGACAATGATCTGACATGCTTGTTTGACTTAACACAGTGGTTCTCAAACTTTTTCTGTCATTCCCCACTTTGGACAAGGGGGAATTTTCAAGCCCCATCTGCCCCTATCGCCCCAACACAATGCTAATGAAATATGCAACAAGCTTAAAATGTTCCAATTTATTGAAGTAAGTAGTATCTAAATACAAACTAACTATCTACATCAAATAACATAGCAGGAAGTAAAAAAAAAATACAAGTGCAACTGTGTCATAACTTACATATAAACTAAATTATTTATTATTTATTTATTTATAAACTAATTAATTATTTTAATTTCTTTGTTCCGATCAGAGCATGTGAGTGGAGAGTGCATTTGTGAATATTCCTGTGCTCGCTCATTCCGCTCAGGGTCGCGCGCTCCGCTCAACCCTGCTGGCTCGAAAATATGTGGAATAAGGGCTGCCTCCGACTAAAGTTTTTTTGTTTTTTTTTCTAGTCGACTAGTAGTTGTTTATTTAAGCCATTAGTGGACAAATTGCCCCTTTATATCGATTTAATAACTTAAATAAGCTATACAGGATAATGAGTGTTATAAAGCCGCACTCAAGCACACGAGCCTGCAAAAGTCTAATGATTATGAATCTGTAAAAAATAGCAGGGAGACATTTAATTGTTTACTAATAAATTGGTGTTTTCTGCGTCGCATCAATGTAAAGTTGACGATACTGACTCACCATGAACGAATAAAGATATAAAAGGCATAAAACAAGGAAAAATTCCTCCCGTTGATGCGGGCCACCTGTTACGTCTCTATTCCCCACCAGATGAGCGCACCCTACACTTTGAGCAGCGACCCCGGCGACTACTGTCTGTAGTTAGGGGGCCCCCTGGTGGCGGCGGGGCCCTAAGCAGCCACTTAGTTCGCTTATAGGGAGAGCCGGCTCTGCCAACAACTGTCTTACATGACTGTATTCCCAAACAGCATAGCCTGGGAAAACCCAGACAACTTCCGGCAAATTTAGATTTGCTCTGAAAGTTAGTCTGGCAAAGAGCTCTTTCAAGCCCATTTCAAATCCGTTGAAATCGAGGCACCAATCAGAAACGTTGGGGTGGGCTTTACACGATGACAACAGCGCTGGGATTTTTAAGCAGATTTTGTAGCCTACATTACAAAGATTGATGCCTCGTTTGAATCAGCTGTTTTGTCTGTTTTAAGCGATACGATTCCTTTACGATTCCTACGACTTCCTTTTAAAGTCGGCGTGAAACGGAAGTTGAGATTGTCATTTTTTCCTTGTTGTGATGTATATATCCAAGTGAAACGGCTTCTGAAATTAGAAAAAAGGACAAAATGTGGGGCAGGGCTTGATTTCGTCCTTCGAGAATTGATTGGATAGTTGGAGGTTGGGTGTTGCAAACAAAATGGTGGGAGATTTGAATGCGATTCTCAGTGCACAGATAGCCGCACCCTCATCGGATCTGGCCACATCCTTTCGCCATTGCATGTGACCAGTGGTGTAGTCTAGTTTTATGTAGCGAGTATACTATGATATTTATTTTGTAGTGAGCATACTGGATTCCGCGATTCGATCCGTGTCCCTGCGCAAACACAGAAGGTGGGTGAACTTATGAACAGAGCAGGCCCGAGCCTTTTGGGGGCCCTAAGCAGAACTTGATTTGGGGGCCCCTCCCACGACGCGGAGTCACCTGTGTCTTTTTCCATGCGCCTGGCGCATGTTTTCAATTATTTTTAATGGGAGCACCGCGTTTTTTAAACGCCATGAGGGTATCGAGGCGCTGAACGTTTTTTTCACGCTGAAGAGCCGAATGCCCGCCGTTTTTTACTGGTCGCTGAGAGTTGAAAAATGTTCAACTTTGGATAAAACGCAGCACTCATCTCTGTCACTTTTTACTCAGCGGTCCAATCACAATGGAGGAGGGGTGGGACTAATACCACATCGACCAACTGTCACAATATTTTCAGCTGGCTAAAAACGCTTTGGTGGACACACGGCCACCAAAGTCACAAACTTTAAAAAAAAAATGAATTGAAGACAGTGAGTAATCATTCAGTGAAGGGTGGATAAAACAAGCAAACCTCTGTGTTATGACTTTTCAAATTGGAATCAGTTAAGGAGATGTTGCACAGGTACTGTCATGATTCTGCCTTCTTGTCTTTGATTTTTCTCTAGTCGTGACTCGTGAGGCAGGATCATGACAGAATCATGTTTTGTGTGCAAGCGCATGGCCTGTTTGGGCCATGTGCTTGTGTTGTCTCGTTAACTTACCCCGCCCCCTTGTTATCCTAGTCTTGTGATTATTGTCTAGTCAGTTTCACCTGTCTTTGTCATTAGTGTTCCCTTTATAATCCCCTTGTGTTTGCTGTCCTGTGTCGGTTCATTGTGAAAGATTGTTTGAAACCTGCTGTGTAACCTGCCGTGAGATCTGTTTGTTGTTTTGTGAAGTTTGCAGTGAGTAATCCCTTGAGTTAACTGTTAATCCAGAGTCTGTTCATGTCTTAGTATTGTTCCTGTCTTGACCTCAGTTTAAGTCTAGTGTTTGTTACCCAGTCTTGTTTTGCCCCCTCGTGGGCTTTGTTTTCCCTTTTTGTCTTGAATAAATTCTGTGTTGAGCAATCAGTCTGCTTTTGGGTTTGTCTATCCTCCCACCTCATAACAGAATGAACCGACCACCAAAGAACCCAGCAGACAGTTCGTTCTCCCAGTTCCGGCCACAGCCGGAACGGTGGTGGTTGTCAGCTCCCACAGACGGAGAGAGAATCAACGGTCCTGTCCAACCCGAGGGTGAGTGGATCCTGAAGAATTGGGCCCGACTCTGGGATCATTTCTCCCAGGAGGATCCGCCAGCTTCCACCACCTTGTCACCACCTGCCAGGCTGCCAGTGATCCCGGAGGGTCACATTTTAGCCGTGGTTACGCAGGGGAACCAGGCTCACTCCACTTCGGCTCCCGACGCTTCAGCTGCACCCGCAAGTCTCCGTGGCAAGCGAGAGAGACGGCTGTCGTGGGAGTCTACTTCGGAGTCCTCTTCAACCGAGACCACGCTTCCTGCCGTGCTTCCCCAACCGGTCACAAACCTGGCTATGTCCTCTGCTCCACGACCCAGGAAGAAGAGGAGGAAGAAGGGAGTCTCTTGTCCTCTGTCTCCGTCTCTCCCAGAGCCCGCTCCAGCAGGCGCCGTCCAGAGCCCGCTCCAGCAGGCGCAGGCGCCGTCCCAGAGCCCGCTCCAGCAGGCGCCGTCCCAGAGCCCGCTCCAGCAGGTGCCGTCCCAGAGCCCGCTCCAGCAGGCGCAGGCGCCGTCCAGAGCCCGCTCCAGCAGGCGCCGTCCAGAGCCCGCTCCAGCAGGCGCAGGCGCCGTCCCAGAGCCCGCTCCAGCAGGCGCCGTCCCAGAGCCCGCTCCAGCAGGCGCCGTCCCAGAGCCCACTGCGGAGAGAGTTGCGGCCGATCTAGCCGCAGGAGAGATTCTGCAGTCGGTTTCTGCTCGTCAGGAGATGCCCATCTCTCTGGCTGCCAAGACCCTGTCTGACTATTTGTCCAGTCTGATCAAGATCCTCGAAGTGCCTGTCCTGTCTTGTCCCGAGCCCACTGTGTCTGTAAGTGCTGTCCCTGAACCTGTGTCTGTAAGTGCTGTCCCTGAACCTGTGTCTGTAAGTGCTGTCCCTGAACCTGCAGCGGAGAACACCACTCCCAAGTCGGAGAGGTTGATCGTGGGATCAGAGTCACCTTCGGTGAGCTCTGTCCCAGTTTTCCCTCTTCGATCTCCTACCACACCCCCCGTCATGAGTCCTGCTTCGTCTCCATCGTTCGCTGTACCCCCAGTTGCTATCCCTGTTGTGACTTCCACTGTTCCCAAGACCTCGTGTGTGTCCCCGATCAGCCCTGTCTGCGCTCAACCCCGGACTGTTTCCCCATTTGTCCCTGTCCCCACGGTCCCTGGACTTCCGTTTGTTTCCCCTGTCATGGCTCAACCCCGGACTGTTTTTCCCTTGTCCCACACCACTCCTCCCAAGCCCGCTCGGTCCTCTCATCCTAAGTCCACTCCCCGTGGTCCCAGGACCCCTGTCCCGCCCACCCACCCTGGACAGTCGCTCAAAGACTCTGTGTTTCCTCCACCTCCTCTGCCTTGTATGTTGTTTTTGATGTTTCACCCCAACCCTGTCGTTGTGTATTTTTGTATGCCTTTGTTAGTTTTTGCCATGTACTGTTGGTTTGTGTCTTTGTCACAGTCTGTCATGTCCCGTGTTTAATGTCCCCTTGAGGAGCGTCTGGAAGCCGCTCCTTAAGGTGGGGGTTCTGTCATGATTCTGCCTTCTTGTCTTTGATTTTTCTCTAGTCGTGACTCGTGAGGCAGGATCATGACAGAATCATGTTTTGTGTGCAAGCGCATGGCCTGTTTGGGCCATGTGCTTGTGTTGTCTCGTTAACTTACCCCGCCCCCTTGTTATCCTAGTCTTGTGATTATTGTCTAGTCAGTTTCACCTGTCTTTGTCATTAGTGTTCCCTTTATAATCCCCTTGTGTTTGCTGTCCTGTGTCGGTTCATTGTGAAAGATTGTTTGAAACCTGCTGTGTAACCTGCCGTGAGATCTGTTTGTTGTTTTGTGAAGTTTGCAGTGAGTAATCCCTTGAGTTAACTGTTAATCCAGAGTCTGTTCATGTCTTAGTATTGTTCCTGTCTTGACCTCAGTTTAAGTCTAGTGTTTGTTACCCAGTCTTGTTTTGCCCCCTCGTGGGCTTTGTTTTCCCTTTTTGTCTTGAATAAATTCTGTGTTGAGCAATCAGTCTGCTTTTGGGTTTGTCTATCCTCCCACCTCATAACAGGTACACTGCCCTTTACATAAAGACACACAAAGCCTAACAAATCGGGTCTCCTTAGAAAGATTGCTTAGTGTGCATTATGCCTCGGTCCAAAAAGCTTACACAGTACCTTAAAAAAATGTGTGTTCTCCACCCTGCACTAGGAATAATTAAATAAAAATGTGAAAAAAGGTTGATTATGTGTGCCTTATTAGTCAGATTGTGTATGACATTTTCAAAGGGTTCATAACTTGTTCTTGCCACTGTAACTTTGACAATGATGTTATAAAAATGGATATAATTGAAAAACGATAAGATTACAGGCTTAGAAAACAGTCCCATTCTCTTATCTGAGAACTGCAATTAGAAGCTCATAAACACATATACTTACATTTCCAACACCATTACGATGTCTGTCTTTCCTTCAAAAGCATCGACACACTGCACAAGCTTTGAGTGATGCAGGTCATTCATGATTGCAATTTCCTGTCTGACATTTTCTTTTTCTTTAACAGAATATGCCTTTATGAATTTCCCAGCCCAAACCTTCTTAGTGGCCTTTTCTATCAGTTTGAAAACAGTCCCGAATTTTCCTCTGAAAATGAAAATATTTTTTATATAAAATGTTGTTGCAGATTCCTTTGTTGTACAGTAATAATTACATATTCTACAACATTTTATTGATTTGCTGTCATACTCACGTGCCCAGTCGTTCTTCCACATCATAAAGGTCCTTCACTTTTACATCTGTCTTGATCATCACGTTTCTGTAGTTTGCCTTCTCTTCTTTTGTGAAATGAGGAAATAGATCCATATTATTCTGAATTGTCTATAATCAGTCGTGTTGCAATACTTAACACTTTTTAAAAACTGAAAATAAAAATTGGAAAAACCCAGAATGTAGCAACTCACCAAAACATTTAATTAATGCTTCAAAATCTAGTTACGTATTGTGTCAGTAAATTGGCCAAAGCCAAACATTTACTGGGAAATGTCAATACTGTAGTATTCAAAAAGAAAATGAGCATTTGTATACAATACATTTTTGTTGAAATGTTTTACAGGTAAACTGAAAATTCACAGTTCCTTACCCAGATAGCAAACTGACATTGAATCAACGTGGAAATATGACATCGAAACAACGTTGATCTGACATTGTTTTGCTCATCGAATTAACGTTGAACCAACGTCAGACGCGTCATTCTTTCAAAACTAACGGAAAATCAACTTGAAATCAACGCGTTGTTTCAACGTTATGAAAGCAAACCAATTTTCGATTGTCATTTAGCTTTGAAGAATGCCGCGTCTGACGTTGGTTCAACGTTAATTCGATGAGCAAAATCAACGTTGTTTCCAATGTCATGAGAGACGTCGTTTCCACGTTGATTCAATGTCAGTTTGCTGTCTGGGTATGTCTTCTCCGAACACCACCACACATCCTTATATACATTTTGCTATTGCTTTTCCATGGCAAGAAACTGTACATTTTCAGTTTACGTTCAACACAAGTCAAAGCAATTGAGGAAAACTGTAATAATTCAGTGACACAGCATGAGAATCATATTTTAGAATATACATCAGACACCAAAAATATGACACATACCATCATCTGAGGGCTCAACTTCATCTTCTTTATTTCCTGTAAAATCAACAGACTCTTTTTATAGCACATTTTTAAACTGAAATAACTAAAGTTAACAGCATAATCCATGCTTTGTTCCTAATACAACACTATTGATGTCCACCAGGTGGGGCTCACCCTCTTCGGCCTCCAGTCCCACCTGCACCGGCACAGACTCGGCACTAGGCTCCCCGACACCATAGATATTTACAGCTCTCACTCGAAACTTGTACTGTCTGTCTGGAAGCAGGTTCTGTACGTTATAAGAGGTGCTGTTACAGGACGCCAGATCTGTCCACTTCATGTCCACAGAGTTCCACAGCTCCACGTTGTAGGAATGGACAGCACAGCCCCCGTCGTATGTCGGCCCATACCAGGACAGAGTAAGGCTGGATTTACGGATATCTGAGGCTGCTGGGACGCGGGCAGGGGGGTCAGGCTTATCTGTAAAGAAACAGACCAAAATCGGGTCCTAAAATTCATCAGAGTTCAGATTCACTCAAGTACACTACTTAAATGGCATTTCAACCCAGCTATGTGTTTTTGTAACCGAGAAAACATGCAAAATGTTCAAAGATTATGTTGTCTTTTTGGCTTTTAAAGATGCACCTATTTCTGTCTTCAAATGGAATTGCAGTAAATAAGACTTTAGGGGACAAAACATGATACGCAATCACAATCACGCCTGGGAAACACAGAGATAATTCTGATAGGATAGGAACTATCTGTAAGTTTCGAACATGGCGGAAAAGAGAACTTATATGTTTATTTATGTACCCTAACTCTAATGAACCAAACTATGGGAGAAAATGCACCAGGTTCCGAAACAAATGCTCCGAAAGAGCCAAGAAAACTCTCTAAATGTGGTTGTCACTCCTGTCAGTTCCATTTTTTAGTGTCCACATGGCCTAAGTGGCTCATGGGGCCTGTACATTATTTAAATAAACTCATAGTCAATAAGTCAAATAAAAGTAAATAATTTACATTCAGATAAAACAAATAAGTTCTGTATATTTCTACATTAATATTTGATTGACATTCTAGTTAAAATGTCTCTCTCCCTCTGGTTTTCTGCAGAACACGTTCCTTGTTCCCAATTGCATTATTTTAAAATAGATTTTAATAGTTTTTCTATGTAAACATGCTGGACAGAGAAAAAATGTGTCCTGTGTGAATGGATCCTTATTTTAGTTGCCATTCTACAGGGTTCCTACCGAAGCATTCTCATCCCAAGGCGTCATGTACTGATATATATATCTGCATGTCATGATGACGCCTTGAGATGAGAACGGGCTGCTCCTACAGAGTTTCCATTTCAAAATTCCATTTTCCATACTCAGATTTGTGTAGATTTTTCAGACCATTTAAAATAATTGGTTCATACAGCATTATTTTTAAGCTTTATATTTGTTATAGTACAGTCATATGTAAACTTCAGTCATCTGTTTGTTTTTTTTCAATGGTTTTCTCGAACTGATAACATGCGTTTACTAGATGAGTAGAAGCCTAAAACGCATATTAAAGGTACAATATGCAGGATTTTGCAGTAAAATATCCAAAACCACTGGGCCACTGTTATATATTTTGTTTAGTTGATTACTTACAATATCCCAAATGTTTCCAACTCTTTGTAAATCGTGAGAAAATTGCGATTTTTTACCAAGGAAACGCAGCGTGTGAGCAGGGGTGAGGAGTTGCCAGTCAATGACGTCATATCTGCATTACCCCCGGTTTCCGCCAGGTTTGACCTCGTACTGCAATAGTAACCATGGCGACAGACGTGGACAACTGGGTCGGTTATGCCCGTTGTGCATGCTCAGCAGCGTGAGCGTCCCTAGCAGGGTTTTGTTCAAACATTATGGACCATGGCAAGCAGACTTTGAGACAAAAAGAGGACTAAAACGTAGATCAATATCTTTCGTGATGCCGAGAGCTTTATGTCCACGACTAACTTCGACTTGACAGAGACGCGAGTGTTGCATGTTACTTGAGCAAATTAATGTATATAAAACTAATCAATGTTATATAGTTGAATATATGATGAAAAGTTAGAATATGATCTATGTTATTCTCTAATGTTAATCTAGCTTAGTCTCATACAACCAACACACAACCTAACTAACATTCAACAGACTCAAATGCAGTTTAAGTGTGATAGTGAAACTGTTAGAGCAAGTGAAGCAGCGCAGCATTTCCTCAAGTTTTATTCCTCTAATAAACTGACCTGTATGAGTAATTCAGCATGTAGTTCGGTAGAATTAAATGTCCTTATTCCTTTATATCCGCGGGACTCGGGTTGCGTGTGGCGCTGGTATAAGTTACGTCCAGCAATCGCACCCTGCTTCATACTACAGTCAAGTTTAAAAACATCAATGTATTCACTCATCCATAAAGGATCCATCAGCTTGACGACAAGATCCATAATTCCGCTAAATGCAGAATTTACGTCATTAATATACGCCTTTTGTTATTCTAAGACCCCTAGCGACCCCTAGTGGCGAAACAATCTTGCATATTGTACCTTTAACCTGTATTTCTCCATACTCTGTTTTCATTATTCCATTCTTATCCAATTCCATTCTTATCCAGACCTGGAAATGAAGTTTTCACAAGTGTTCATGCTTACCGACTATAGTGAGGTTGAGGGCGGCCTGTCTCAAGCCGTAGCTGTTCCTGATTTCGATGGTGTAGCATCCGCAGTGCTCCTGCTGTCCTTCTGTGATGGTCAGCTGACTGCTGCTGTCTGTGCTTAATACTGAGATGCCCTGACCTTCCTGAATCTGAAGAAGCAGAGGATGTGGATAACCATCATATTGGGTGCTTGTTTCAGGCGTAGCCAGGCTACTTCAAGTGTTCAGTTCAACATCAGAGTGGAGAGTCAACTAACTGAAATAAATGGGAGTAATAAAACGTTTTTTTTTTTTTTGTTTTTTTTTGTTAGAGCCAAATGTACAGAGGGGTATGCCAGTGCTTGCAATATTTTGTCATTGAGGATGATGGCTGTTTTGGAAAAGCTGTGAGCTGCCAACCTAGAAAGCATTTTTGGGCATCATAGAAACTCCCAATCCAAAGACCATATTAAATTAAAAACAAATGAATGTTTAAAGCATTTAAAAGCGAATGGCGAGTGAATTTATGTGCCATCTGTGAGTTAAAGAATCAAACATTTAGAAGCCTCTCTCTTTGGTTTTAACACATTAAAAGGTGAAAAGTCTCTTACTGGTTTGCGGAACTTGAGCCAGGTGCAGCTGATGGGCAGCGCTCCAGTGAACTTACACAGCAGACTGACCTCCTGGCCCGCCAAGATCTTCATATCATCAGGGAACTGCAGGATCTGAGGAGGAGCACCTAACACACAATTCAATTATAGAATTTAGGCTAAATTTATGTTCACCACACAATTTGCTCTCATAGGGCTCTCACAATGACTCAGACCCAAAGACTCGGGAGGTAAACTAATCATTTCTATTTCCAGTACAGACTGCATACCTTCAGCCTATGGGGATGTGACGTGACAAAAGAACGAATGACTTGGATCAGGAGGTGAGGTAAACTAACAGATCGTAATATCCTGAAGATCCAACTAAGCGATAAATTAAAGGGGTGATGAACTGAGAAATCAAATTTTCCTTGAGCTTTTGACATCTAAGAGGTCATCATTTTATAAGAATATCCTGTAAGTTTAGGAACTGAAAACGTCCTTGTTAGTCCAATAAAAGCTTTTATTGACACCAGCCTCAGCAAACTTTTGGTTTTTCAAAGTGAGCAACTATGACGTCCGAGAGGATAAAACACCATCCCCGCAGAAGAAGATCAACGCCTACTTCAACACGGCCGGTTTAGTCCCACCCACCCACACACATAGCTAAATAACATAGGCCTACCTCGTGATGACAAACTGGATCGAGCTACCCAGCAATACAAAATATTGTGCAGTGCCTGGTTGCGGAAGAAGTCAGTCGCTGCATAAGCTTCCTCTGGATTCCAATAGGACTGCATGGATAAACTTTATTTTTAATGACATTCCAGCTGATGAGGTAATACATTGTCCATCTGATCGGTGCTGGTGCTGTGCCGCCTATATTGGATCTGACAGGAATTGTGCAACACAATCTGGGTTGAACATGTATGGGCGAATCGCCGGTTGCCATTTTACAACATTGGACGTTTTCAAAACAATTTCCCCCAAGTGCATCGATGGGTGAGTTGAAAGTAATTGTAATATGCAAAACTGTTATCCACTCACAGCAGTGGGCGTTTACTTCCAAAGTCTTCAGTGTGAGACGCCCATATTTTTTTTCAGCTAGGCTCAAAACTAACAGACAACAATATGATAAAATTAAAAAAAAGACAGTTGATGACCCCTTTAATAATTTCTGTGTGTCATATTTTGGCCTTGGATGCAGTATAGTGTTTTGTTATTTTTACTAAATTACTTGAAAAGATTCATTAATTTTGCAGGACGAGACTTTCACGTGACTCTTTCCGTCAACTGTGGTTGTGATTGGACATTGGCTGACCAGTGGATCAGTTTCATTACACTGCATCTCAAAGGTTGGTTTGATCATACTGCCTGAACCAAAGTCTGTTATTAGAATATTGTGTTTTAAAAAAAAGTTTCATTTGCCGGGGCGGCAGTGGCTCAGTGGTTCATGTAGGTTGTCTACAAACTGAAAGGTTGGTGGTTCAATCCCCGGTTCCACCTGACCAAGTGTCGAGGTGTCCATGAGCAAGACACCTAACCCCAGGTGCTCCCAACGAGCTGGATGGCGCCTTGTATGGCTGACACCGCCGTCGGTGTATGAATGGCTGAATGTGAGGCAATATGTAAAACGCTTTGGTGGCCATTAGGTCTATGAGAGCGCTATATAAATGCAGTCCATAAACCATGGTTATATTTACACCCAAAGAACACAATGAGGGACACAATTATTATCATTATTTGTAATCAACAACATGTCACAAAAAAGCTTAAGTTGCGTACTGTTTATTTAAAGGGTTAGTTTACCCAAAAATGAAAATTCTGTCAGTATTTACTCACCCTCATGTTGTTCCAACCCCGTAAGACCTTCGTTCATCTTCGGAACACAAATTAAGATATTTAAGATATTAAGATCGCTCCTGCATACAGTCCATAGGCTTCTTGAGGGAATGACTCTTGCTGGCATCGAAAAGTCATTAAAGACATCGTTAAAATAGTCCAAGTGACTACAGTGGCTCAATTTTAACTTTATCAAACGACAAGAATACTTCTTGTGCGCAAAAACAAACAAAAATAACGACTTTATTTCAACTATTCACTTCCTTCTCCATGGGCCTGTAGTCAGTTAACGTAGTGTGATTGCATAAAGCTACGTCATACGTAGGCTCACTATTGGCCGACGCTGGTCATGTGTGTGATGCGTGTGACGTACAATAACAGAAGCTTATGCTATTAAACTAGTAACCTGACTCGCGCAGAGGGAGAAATAAAAGAATAGTTCAAATAAAGTCGTTATTTTTGTTGGGTTTTTTTGCGCACAAAAAGTGTTCTCGTCGTTTGATAAACTTAAGATTGAGCCCCTGTAGTCACTTGGACTATTTTAACGATGTCTTTAATGACTTTTCGAGGACAGCAAGTCATTCCCTCAAGAAGCCTATGGACTGTATGCAGGAGCGATCTTAATATCTTAAATATCTTAATTTGTGTTCCGAAGATGAACGAAGGTCTTACAGGGTTGGAACAACATATGGGTGAGTAAATACTGACAGAATTTTCATTTTTGGGTGAACTAACCCTTTAACCCAACATAAATTATGCATATGATGACTGTTTTGATCCTACCTTGTTTAGCCAGTGTTTTGGGTGGGGGTTTCTTTATTTTAGCCTCACCTGAAGTCAAAGACACAAGAAATAAACACAGATGAGATGCCACATGACTTTGAATTAACACTGTGAAAATGGGCTCAGCATACAATCTCAGTCCAGAGAACTGATCATAAAACATCAGCCTGATATGTGGGAATTTTCCTATGTGAGCAATTTCATACATTCTGTAGTCTACTTTTAAGTATCTTGTATCATTCCACACTCTCTTTCTTCTTACACAATAAAGGGGGTTGGTAAAACTTCACATCAGGTTTCAAGTCTCACACACACACACACACGTTGGGTTTACATGTTATGTATGGGAACATTCAACATTCTATAGACATAATGATTTGTATACTGTACAAACTGTTTATTCTATCTTCTTTCCCTATCCTCCCCATCACAGAAAACGTTCTGTATTTTTACATAAAAAAAAAAACACTCATAAAAATTGGAAAGAAATCCAAGTCCAGGCACTCAGGGTTACAGAAGTAAAAAATAAAAAAAAGCCTTTATTAAATGATCGAGGGCTAAACCATTAAAAAACACCAATGCGTATCGGCCCACTGGCCTTGATTAGGGTGTTGGTAACAAACAGTGTTGGGAGTAACGCATTACAAAAGTAATACATTACAGTAACATATTACTTTTTGCTGTAACGCAGTAGTGTAAGGCATTGCTAATCAATTTTCAGTAATATTTTACTCGTTACATGTTCAGTCAGGCTTGTATTACAGTTGTATTACAGTGTATTTTACTTCTTAAAGGCAACAGACTATGTGAAAGTTTTAAAGCAGTCTTTTTGTGCCAGTTCAGAGCGGTCGCGTCTGTAACATTGTTTTTTCCTCATAAATGCGAACACGAAAACTAAAATAAAATGAATATTTTAAGTTCTATGGAGACTGGAGAGCCAACCCTTCCTCATCCGATTTGCGCAGTGTAATTAACACAATTACAAAAAATATATTTTGCCTCCAATTTTTTTGTCATGCATGAATGTGTGTCTTTTCCCTAATATTAAAAATAAAACATAGACTGATATTTGTCTAATGTCTGGAGTCCTTTAAGGAAGTAGCCTATATACGGTTCAATGTATTTTCTGAGAATTTTTATTTCAAGTTTTGACTGCAAATGTCATGTCCATAATGCGGGACTTCTCCAATTTTAAATAATTTATCCTCAACTAGTTTTGTGGTGTAGGTCTACGTATTTTATAATGTTAACTTCAAATAATACTAATAGCCTAATTTAAAGATAAGGCAGCATTGGATATGGACGGTAAGGAGAATAACGCTGGAGTTGGAAGAGGTGTGTCGTGATTCTGTAGGTTCGTGGATCTGAGTCGTGTGGCGAATCGCGATTTCGGTTTCATATTGCATATCGTTACAGCCCAAAAGTTAAGTTCTACTTAGTTATTTTGGTGAAAGTAACTAAAAAGTAATACATGAGTAATGTAACGCATTACAATTCTGAGACAGTAATATTGTAAGGTAATGAATTACTTTTAAATAACAGTAACAAGTAATACCTAATGTATTACAGTTTGGAAGTAACTTGCACAACACTGGTAACAAACAGACAGAATCAAGCAATACTTATGGATGAATTCACCTTTGGTTAAGCCCCGCCCCCCTTAGTTACTGTTGCTAAATCTGTCAAACTTCATCTGCACTCTGCATGGCTTATGCTGTAACAGAGCTGCTGAAATGTTATCAAACTTTTATAAAGCAGCAAATAAAGTGTCCGATAGAAGTAGACAAAAGGGGCTGCAATATGCGTTCGAAGGCTATATATTCAAGACATACAGGTGAAACGCAAAAAACAACAAGGCATCCAAAATAGGGGCAAAAGCATAATGTTAACGTTACCAGTCACAGTCAAAAAATGAACCACCGCATTTCCTACTAATGGAGACGGAGGCTGGGACTAACAATATCAGGGAGCAACACTGTTCATGCAAAGCTGGGTAGGTCTCTATTCACTTCTATAATCGTTATTACAAAGAAAACGGGCTACACAAGTACTGTATGACGTTGTATTTATTAGCAGCGTGTGCTAGCGTATCAACAACCTATATGAGAACCGAAATCATAACCTAAAACATTATAAAAAGGTCTAACTAGAATAACCTCACACTCACAGTAAGGTTAGAAGTAAAAAAAAGATGTGCTTGTTGATCTTTGCGGGGTTTAGCTGACTGAGGACGTCCATACAGTTTAATCCAAACACGACACTTGTCACTGTCAGGATTTTACTTCGGTTTTGGGAAGGGAAAAAACGGACACCTCCCTCCAACCTCTCTGGGAAACACGTATCGAAAGTTGAAAGTCAATGGAGCGCAGTGAAAAACTGTCGGACCTCTGTGGGAGCTGGTTCTTGGCTGGGCTGTGATTGGTCAATCTAAATTCTAGGGCGTGGCTTAGCCAAAGGTGAATTAGCTTCAGGTGTTCCACTCAAGCACTTTCAACACAAGTTTTGGCCACTAGAGGCAATTGTTCAGGTCATGTCTACTGTCAGAAGTTAAAACATACAAGTGCAAAGCTCAAAGTGTAAAAATAGGAGTGACACCACTACAAACATCTAGTGTACTCCACACAACATGTAACAAATGTCATTAAATGTGAATGGGCTGGTTACCCATCATAATTCCAATGTCAAAGTCAAGATGGTTCTAAAAAAAAACATTGACAGAAAATGGCATCGCATTCAAAAACTAGTAAAAACACTGTACCCATTGAAGCACAATATTACAAAAAAGGTGAAAGGTCAAAATCTTCATTGATCCCTGGATGACTAGTGGCTTTCAAAGAATAGATCCAATATGTATCCCTTTGTTTAAGGCGTTTGATTATGTCCCCGCCTCTGGCATCAAGGCGAACAGCCTCAATGCCCACTACTCGTAAGGTCGAATCCCTTCCATGTTTTGCGTCTATATAGTGTCTGGCCATTGGATAGTTCATATTTCCAGTCCGGATGGCATACCTATGCTCAGCTACCCTGTCTCTTAATCTACTTTTAGTAAGGCCTATAGACGCTTTCATCAGATCATGGTGATGAGCTGGCCCAAAGTTAACTTCCGTTCTCTTCGTTTATTAGTGTTTACTGGATAATATGGCATTGACTACAAATGCAGAGAAAGTTAAGGTGATGAGCAGGTTGTTGAGCTGTGGGGTGCAACCTGACCAAGGAAGCAAACGCAATTTTTAAAAGTAAAAATGTCAAGGTTTCCTATGAGGGAGATGGCTGTATTAAAATAGCCTAGGTATGTTTATCTGAGTGATAACCGGTACAGTGTTTCCCATACATTTATTAGTGGCAGCCCACCACATTATCAGCGCTGACCACCACATATTGATTTCCGTGTTTTTAACAATTTAAGATGAGAAAAGTTGTAATTGACTGCAGAGTTGCGTGCATATTCTCTCTCTCTCTCTCTCTCTCTCTCTCTCTTCTCTTTCTCTCTCGCAAACACATTGACAGTGGACCAGTCTGTGTATTGAATGGTTAGTATCATAAACAGCGCTGCACAGATCCATCCAACATGCTGTCAATGTGGAGACCCACCTTAAAAAAAGGTTAGCAAGCATGTAAGAAGCCTAGCTAATAAGGAGAGCTATGTTAACCTTATCAAACCCCGCTGTCGCACTCGATCGCCACAGTTTTGTTTAAAACTGCGGTAAATCAGACACGTCGGTAGAAAAACATCTTGTCTCCAATTTTTGTTAAACGGGTCTGGTAGTGTCACATTTCAGTTTGGCCAGGTAACATTTATTTTCTTTGACTGGCAAGAAATACCAGCTACTAGGTTATTTACTTGTTATGGATTGTCTCTGCAAGTCTGCCTGAAGTTAAGTTTGGGCCAGATTAATGCACATGCGCAGTACCGTTTGTTTATGTTGTCACTGCTGAAAGCGTCTATATAAAAACAGCCACAAGTGCACTCTAACTGATAAACAACATGGGTGGTATTGCAATTTATAAAACTGTTAACAGTGTAAGTCTTATTACTGGAAACATCCATAAATGTATCAGATTTAACCATATTCTCACAATAATTACAGTTACCGCAAGGAAAATTCCCCTTAGGTTGACGAAGCCAAATTTCACGTTTAGGAGCAGGGAGGTAACTTCTTACTAACTTGTCTTTAATTGTGGGGGCCCTCCTAAAACTGATCCCAGGTGGTTCCGTGAATACTTCCCGTAGAGTCGGGTCACATTCAATAATGTTCCAGTTTTTCTTTATAATAATCTGGATAGCCTCCATACTGTAATTAGTGACAAAGTAGGGTTTTTTGAGTTGACAATATTTTGGGTCTAGACTGAAGCAGGTTCTTCCTTTCAAGTGATTGGGCTCTATTATGAGCTTGAATGAGAGTTTGTGTTTGATAACCTCTTTGTCGAAAACGCCGCTGAAAATCCATAGATTGATGTTGGAAATCCTGATCTGAATCACATATATGCCTTAGTCTCTGGATCTGTCCAAAGGGTATGTTATCAATAAGCCATGGGGGATGAAAACTATTTGCATGCAGTAAGGTATTACGATCTGTTGCTTTTCTAAAAATAGATGTATGCAAGAATCAATCATTATCCTTTGAAATCCGTAGATCCAGAAAGTTAATGGAGTGTAAGTCGTAGTCCAGACTAAATTTAAGGTTCTCATTCAGACTATTTACATAAACATGAAAGTCTACAAGTTCTTGTTCTAAGCCTGAGAACATCAGAATGGAAAAAAAAACAAACACTTGATTTACACTCACCTAAAGGATTATTAGGAACACCTGTTCAATTTCTCATTAATGCAATTATCTAATCAACCAATTACATGGCAGTTGCTTCAATGCATTTAGGGGTGTGGTCCTGGTCAAGACAATCTCCTGAACTCCAAACTGAATGTCAGAATGGGAAAGAAAGGTGATTTAAGCAATTTTGAGCGTGGCATGGTTGTTGGTGCCAGACGGACTGGTCTGGGTATTTTACAATCTGCTCAGTTACTGGGATTTTCATGCATAACCATTTCT